CAGCTACTTGGGAGGCTGAGGCAAGAGAATCGCCTAAGCCCAGGAGTTGGAGGTTGTTGTGATTTGTGACACCCCAGCACTCTACCAAGGGTGATAAAGTGAGACTGTCTCCACAAAAAAAAAAAAACAAAAAAAACATATTTCTTTTAGTCCTGTGATCCAGCACCATTACACCTAAATTATAATTCCTCCAACTCCCTGGTTGCTCCAACTACTTGGTAAGTGACAGCCTGTGGGTCCACAATATGCTTCCTTAAACATATATGTAGGACCTTAAACGCCAAATGCACGAAGTGTGCTTGAAACTTCATCCTGGCTCCACATATTAAACATGGCTTTTGGCCAGGCATAGTGGCTCACAGCTGTAATCCTAGCACTCTGGGAGGCCAAGGTGGGTGGATTGCCTGAGCTCAGCAGTTTGAGACCAGCCTGAGCAAGAGTGAGAAGACCAGCGCCCCCATCTCTAAAAATAATGGGGCGCTATGGCAGGCACCTGCATTCCCAGGGCAACAAAGTGATATGCTGTCTCCAAAACAACATTGCTTTTGTGTGAAACTATTATTTTACACACAGTAAATAAGAAAGAATACTTTCTTTACTTCATATGACCTCTGCTTTGTCATTTGTCTTACAGCTAAGCCGGATGCCTCCAATGCATTCAAGACAGAGACTGGCATTATTTATAAGGCACCCTAAGCAGTAAGGAGTCTTGTACTTGCAGAGGCCAGGCAAGGAATTCTGACCAGTGACAATCAGGAGTTCCATCATATAGTCCCTGATGGGAAAAGCAGGATTTCATACAGAATCTGCTCCTTCAAATAACGACACAGAGGCTATACAAGGGAGGTTTGAAACATAGGAAACAGGAAAGGCATACGTATCAGGCTGGTCATACCAGTTCAGCTTGGAACTAAAATTAATAACGTAACATCTTTTCATTATAAGCAAATACTGATACAATTAAATAAATAAACCTTTTCTGAGTGAAAACGTCAATCATCAGTTTTCCTTTGTCATACACATACACACACAAACACACACATATATATATATATTGTCACCCTTGGTAGAGTGCCATGGCATCACAGCTCACAGCAACATCAAACTCTTGAGATTGAATTTGAGTAATCCTCTTGCTTCAACATCCTGAGTAGCTGGGACTATAGGCACCTGCCATGACACAGCTAGTTTTTCTATTTTTTGTAGAGATGAAGTCTTGCTCTTGCTCAGACTGGTCTTAAACTCCTGAACTTAAGCAATCACCCACCTTAGCCTCTCAGAGTGCTAGGATTACAGGAGTGAGCTACCTCGCCTGGCCACCTATGTCATGTATTCAGGGATGATTTAGGCTTCTAGGAATCTCAGTATATTAGGACTTTAGGACAAATAAAAGGCTCTCCCAGTTTTTCTTTTCCATGAAAAATCCATATATTTAGCTTCTCTAGGCTACTAGACTTTCCAAGGATCTCTTCAATAACACCTCAGCCTTTTATTTGCTCAGGAAAATATATCTTCTAACCTAATTAACTAAAACTTCCCAGTCTCTCCAAAATTTGACCATTTGCAGCACCAAACAATGGTGGGGGCTACCTGGCCATCCCATAATCTCCACCCCTACTCCTAAAGTCTCTCCAAATGTATTTTAAAAATCTAAGTTTAAAAGCAATGCATGTGGGCCAGGTGTGGTGTCTCACATTGTAATCTTAGTTCAAAGTGGGAGGTCAGGAGTTCAAGACCAGTCTGAGCAAGAGCAAGACCCCAACTCTACAAAAAATAGAAAAATTAGCTGGGCGTGGGTGTGGGTGCCTGTAATCACAGCTGCTCCGGAGGCTGAGGATCCCTTGAGTCCAAATCCCTTGAGGAGTTTGAGGTTGCAGTGAGCTATGATGATACCACCGTACTCCAGCCTGGATGACAGAGCAAGACCCTGTCTCAGAAAACAAAACAAAATAATCTGCATACCATGCAAAAATAATTTCAAGGCATTCTCTTAGCCCAACCAGATTATGTTCCCAAAAGCCACTTTCAAAGAAATTTTGGAATCACCACTGAACATGATCATTTTTTTGTTTGCTTAAATATGTCAAGGTTTTTTTGTTTGTTTGTTTGTTTGTTTTGCAGTTTTTGGTCAGGGGCTGGGTTTGAACCCACCACGTTTGGCATATGGGACTGGCTCCTTACTCCTTTGAGCCACAGGTGCCACCCCTGTTTGTTTGTTTTTTCGAGACAGAGTCTCACTATGTCGCCCTCAGTAGAGCACTGTGACATTACAGCTTACAGCAACCTCAAACTCTTGGTCTTAAGCAATTCTCTTGCCTCGGCCTCCCAAGCAGCTAGGATTATAGGTGTCTGCCACAACACCTGGCTATTTTTTTTTTTTTTTTGTAGTTGTCATTGTTGTTTAGCAGACCCGGCTGGATTTGAACCTGCCAGCCTCAGTGTATGTGGCCGGCACCCTAATCACTGACCTACTGGCACTGAGCCCACGTCAAGGGTGCTTTGAAATTCCTTTAGTTCCATTAAAGAGCCAGGCATGGTGGCTCATGTCTGCAATTCTATCACTCTGGGAGGCTGAGGTGGATTTTTTGAGCTCAGGGGTTTGAGAACAGCCTGAGCAAGGGCAAAACTCTGCCTCTAAAAAAAAAAGTAGCTAGGCATTGTGGCAGGTGCTTGTAGTTCCAAGTACTCAAGAGGCAGAGGCAGGAGGATCACTTGAGCCCAAGAGTTTGAGGTTGCTATGAGCTATGACACCATAGGACTCTATGGAGGACAACAAACTGAGACCCTCTCCCTCAAAAAAAAAATAATGATGGCACGGTGCCTGTAGCTCAGTGGCTAGGGCACCAGACACATACTCTGGAGCTGGTGGGTTTGAATCCAGCCCAGGCCTGCCAAACAACAATGGCAACTACAATCAAAAAATAGCTGGGCGTTGTGGCAGAGGCTGAGGCAAGAGAATCGTTTAGCACAAGAGTTTGAGGTTGCTGTGAGCTGTGATGCCATGGCCCTCTACCTAGGGCAACATGGTGAGATTCTGTCTCAAAAAAAAAAAAAAGTGATAAGCTGTTATCTTTGCACAAGTTGGCCATTTATTTTGCATTTAATGTTGACAACTAGATACTTACACTCCCTGCCCACAAATCTTCCCTTTCTCCTGCAAGTTTAACATAAACAGATATCTCTTCTCCTTTAGTGAAGTTCAAGTATCTGCAGTCAGGTCCTCTGTAATCGCTCACGGCTGAGACTCTGCTCATTAAAGCTATGTAAACATGCAAAGAAAAACATATACACCTTAAATAAAATGTTATTTCTGCCCTTCTCTCCATCCTACGTATCTCTAAATGCTAATTTCTTTTTTCTTTTTTTTTTTTTTAATGCTAATTTCTTTATATCATGTATGGCTTCAAAAACCTACATAGACTTCCCGCTGCACACAAAATCCTAAGTCTGAACTTTTAGGTTTGGTATCAAAGCTGTCCATACTTGGTGCCCTTTCCCTATTTAAAAACATGTCCTTGATGGCCGTGGTGGCTCCCACTTATAAACCTGGCACTTCGGGAGGCTGGGGAGAGAGGATAGATTGAGGCCAGGAGTTCGAGACCAGCCAACATAGTGAGACCCTGTGTCAACAAAATTTTAAAATTAGGGCAGTGCCTGTGGCTCAAAGGAGTAGGGCGCTGGCCCCACATGCTGTAGGTGGTGAGTTCAAACCCAGCCCCAGAAAAAAACTGCAAAAAAAACCAATTAAAAACTAGCTGGTTGTGGTGGCATGCACCTGTAGTCCCAGCTACTCAGGAGGCTGAGGCAGGAGGATTGCTTGAGCCTAGGAGTTTAAGGTTGCAATGAGCAATGATTGTGCCATTGCATTTTAGCCTGTGTGACACACTGAGAGTCTGTCTTTAAAATAAAGTAAACAGGCTTAGCACTTGTGGCTCAAGCAGCTAAGGCACCAGCGACATACACCTAAGGTGGCGGGTTCAAATCCAGCCTGGACCGCCAAACAAAAATAATGGCTGCAACCAAAAAATAGCCGGTCATTGTGGCGGACGCCTGTGGTCCCAGCTACTTGGGAGGCTGAGACAGGAGACTCGCTTGAGCCCAGGAGTTGGAGGTTGCTGTGAGCAGTGAAGCCACGGCACTTTGCCCAGGGTGACAGCTTGAGGCTCTGTCTCAAAATAAATAAATAAATAAATAAAGTAAACAATAAATAAAATAAAATAAAAACAACCGCCTTCATTTCCTATTTCTATTCCTTTAGACAGACTCAGGGTTATGATCAAGTTTATCCCCAGATTATGTTATTATCATTCTCTAGACTACAGGGAAGAAACAGATGATCAGTTTTCTTCCTGCCACCTACTATATTCTAGGCATTCTGATAAGCACTTTCATATTTTTATTTTATTAAATCCTCAAAACAGATCTATGAGACAATTTCATCTCAGTCTAACAAATGAGCTGTCTGGTAAGGCTCAGAGGGTTGGTCACACAGTTCTGGTGAAGCCCAACTTGCGATGAGGTTCTTTTCATGGCAACATCCCCTTCCTTATTCTGAGATTTTCTTCCCACTCTTTCCTCATCCAAAGAGCCCTCTTGTCTCTCTTTGTGCTTAACTCAGATCCTACCTCCTCTGTGAGGCATCCTGGTCATTGCAGCCTACTCTGATTGCCACTCAGAGCTTCAGTATCACCTGTTGTCTATCTGCTTACTGTTTCATCAACATTCACTTGAATAAAAATGGATGGAGAGAAACTTATCTTACATTTCATCTTATTTCCCTTAGATGTGCCCACCCACCCCCAGAGCCAGCCTATAGCAGGCCAGGAACTATGAGTGAATGAGAGCCCCATATGCTACATTCACCCTTCAACACACAGAGTAACACATACACCATGTTAACATTACTGTTACATTATACTAACATGTAAAATATTTCTGTTAAGCCATGCAATTAAAGTTATGATAACCTTATAAATTACTATTGATTTGAACATTCCTTTTCATGTTCTGCGTCTGCCCCTAATGATACTAAAATGAGGTTGAAATGTAAAGAGAGAAAGATTACTATTATAAAATATCATGTAGTAAACTTCTCCCTATACTAAATCACATGTCCAAAAGATTAAAGAAAGTGTTTACTCATAAAATTATTACTCATAGGTTATTTATGTTTATGCTAATAATATTTTGCATTTTAATTTGCATATTACAAATTAGAAATAATTTTCACATACTAGAAGGATAGAACTTATTTAAAGCAACTCTAATACATTGTGATGTAATTTTGCATCATAATGCTAATAACAGAAAATAAATTAAGTTCTTTTTTTTTTTTTTTTTTT